ATTCAAGAGGATGGGATGGGGTTGACAGAGGAAGTTCACTTGAGGATATTGGGACTTGGTGTTGACTTATGGGTCTTAGATGGTCTTAGGGAATTCAAGAGGATGGGATGGGGTTGACAGAGGAAGTTCACTTGAGGATGTTGGGGCTTGGTGTTGACTTATGGGTCTTAGATGGTCTTAGGGAATTCAAGAGGATGGGACGGGGTTGACAGAGGAAGTTCACTTGAGGATGTTGGGACTTGGTGTTGACTTATGGGTCTTAGATGGTCTTAGGGAATTCAAGAGGATGGGATGGGGTTGACAGAGGAAGTTCACTTGAGGATGTTGGGACTTGGTGTTGACTTATGGGTCTTAGGGAATTCGCGCGCGGAGATTGGCCTCCGATTGGCCGGATGCCATCCTAGATCATAGATCATGGGATCAAAGGGGTCATATTTGGCAAGAACTAAGGTGGAATAAATACACAGGACCAATCCCATGTTGATGGCACTCTGGTTTTTGAATATGGCACCCTGATTATTGTTAGGCTTGATATCCAAACATGTAGCACATTTCATACGTCATACATAAGATAGGGTTTTCACCAGACCGGCTCACAACTGTTCATTGGTTGTGATATGACAGTGACATGGTGGTTTTGTTTGACCGCTCTGCCATCAGACGATGCGCACATAATCATGCAAATAGTTGAAAAAAAGGGGCACCATCAGGCAAAAAGAGACACATGAACCACACTCAGCAAACAACCCACATGTTTTTGTAACTCAGCGGAAATCATTAGACTTTAAAAATCCATTCAACTGAATAGAAGAAAGCAATAGTTTTGAAGGTCTTGCACAGCCTTGGTTTGCCAAGGGGGGGTATGTCAAACAAAGACACCATATCACAACCAATGAAGAGGTGTGATCCTATATCTGATGAAAACCCTATGTTTCACATCCATCTCATGCATGACATTTGCTGCAGGTTTGGATGTCAAACCTAACAATAATCAGGGTATATCAGGGTGCCATATTCAACCTGAGTGCCTGAATCAATCAACATGGGCTCATTTGTTTAAGCCGTCCATTCTTGGCAGCTTCGATCCGCACATTTTCCCTCTGGGTGCCTCTGGGTCACCTCCTCTGGGTCCCTTGAAAACGGCGATGGCCCAGGATGTCTTGATCGACTTGCACGGGCTGCCGGTGGAGGTGTCCAAGATTGCCGTGCAGGTCGGAGGAAAGACGCTGTTCGGGGCGGGGGAAATGTATGACCTTTCCTCCAACTACTCGGTATGAAGATGAGGGGCTCCTTTTTGCACACAGAAGTCCCATGATAGGGGTTACCTTCACCTAGGGCACCACCTCAGGCGGAGAGTATGGGGGGGTAAGGTGTCAAAACCCAAGACCCACAATTCAACACCGCGACCTGTGGGGCTGTTGTGTTGAAGTGCCCTTTTTATGCCTGGCTGTTTTGACTGAGCAAGACGTTTGGAAACCGACTGCTCAGCAAAGGTTTGTTCCAAGATGTTCCAAGAGTTTGGTTAGTCCCCTAAACAGGCTCAGCATTCTCAGGGGATTAATTAATATATTACATTATTTCAAGCATTTTGTACCAATGCGAGGGATGACTCATCATCGTGCGAATGATGAGAAGCCACGTGGGATTTCAGTATACATGCCAACACATATTCAGTGAATGTTTAGCAAACACTACGACCAAAGACTACGACCAAACCATTTAGTTCAACGTACCTCACAACATCCACTTGAAAAAGGTGACCTTAGGTGAACAATCAGCACTTCAACACCCCGGTGCCAACACCCGTTCGCGCGAAACGAACGCTCCAAGCCTCAGGTGGCCATCGAGGACCTGGTGCTGGGGCCTCCGGGCGTGCCGGCGGCGGACCAGCTCGGGGCGCTGATCATCGTCACCGGCGTGGGCAACAACAGCCCAGGCCTGCGAAGGGATCCGAGGTCATCCGAACGCGAGGATGGCGTGGCGCGGTATAGGACAGGTGCGGGGTGAGCGGCGAAGCGTGACGGTGGATTTCGATGGTGTGATTGGTGTTGTTGGCGTTGGCGGCGGCGTGGAGGGTCTGCTTTGGTGGTATTTGTTGGAAAGGATGGCGGATGTGGTGGGCAGAGCGAGTGCGGATGTTTTGGTGGGGTCGTTGGGGCAGTGGGTGTACTGCAGATTTGTGCTTTTACTTTTGGGAGAGAAGGGTGAATTGTGGGAGCTTGTGGTGATTCCATGGGTTGCGGACTCCCAAGTTCGATCAATTGAACAGGCACCACAGCTGTTGTTTCCGCTGTGGGGGTGCAACTGAGACAACGGCTGAATGCGCCATGAACCGATGATGGAGCTGATTGTCCATGATTGTCCCACAGTGAGCTTGAAACCTGGGGGAGACCCTTGGTCATTGGCAAAGACATTGAAAAGCGGTCCAAGGAGCAGCTCCTTCTCTTGCGCCTTCTCCAAGCCTCGCAACCCTCCCCCTTGGTCACCCCAGTGGTCCCCTCCCTCACGGCGCAGGGAACGTGCCGCTGATCCGCCCGGCGGTGACCTCCTTCCTGAGGGAGGAGCTCTCGCTCAAGGCGTGAAACGAAACACGTCGGACCCGGACGACGGGGGTTTTCATCCACATCCACTGCGAGACGGCCCTGCTCCAGGGGCCTGAGGGTATCATATCTAAAAGGGATCCTTTGGGAGGATTGAGGATTGGATGGTTTCTGGAGTTGGACTCAGAGTCGCAAAAACGCCCACCCCCCCCAGGCTGCAGAACGGGAACATTTAGGTGGCGTGCCGGCGTGCCCAGATGCTTCATGAACTCTCCAAAGCTCTACAAGAATTCCACCATTCGGCTGCTCTATTCGCCCCTCTTTGACCTTTGAAATCCTCTGAACTGCAGCTGTCGTAGCCATGTTTCATGCCAACGGTGAAGCCATTCCGCAGGTGGTTCAGGAGTTGTCCATCAAAAGCAAGCTGTTGATGGGGGCGGCAAGTCCCAACTCATTATCAAATAATTGTCGTGGAGTAGATGGCAGGTAGTGTGTTATTGTGTTTAAATTACATACAGTACTGTTGAATGAGCGGAGTCTTCGATGAATCAAGTATAATCAAGTTGCAACAGAGCTGGCACACAGCATATGTGTCATATCCTGTCGTGAATCATTTGTCTCAATTGAGATCACCTCAACCAACCAGATCCTCTAGTCTAGCCGTCTAGCCGCCTAGCCTAATGTGAAAAGAATCTCCAAAAACATCTCCACGCGCCGCTTTTGCCTGTTTTTTCCCATGGGTTCTCCACCTCCAAACAACCAAACCCGCTGCCACAGGTCCTGGATAACCGCGATGGGCCTGGGCGCCTGCGCATTCCGGCATCAGAGCTCAGGACCGGCGCCGTGGGACCTGGAAGGTGAGCTGTTTCAGAAGTTGATATCAACAATGATATGTAGTATAAACTGCTTACTATATCCAATGTTAATTATATACATGTTGATATAATATCAGCTTACCACGTTCAACTGAGTTGCACCGTGGCCTTTCCACAAGCGGCCCCTGACTACAAGCTGCAACCCTAGAGGTTTGGCTGCAAGTCCGACACAACGAGTGAGAGTCGTGGGTGTGTTTTTTGGGAGGCTTCGTTCTTGGAACTCCGGAATCACAATGAAGAGTTCTCTGACTGACGGAGTCACGGAGTCGACGAAGTACCGAACGAACGGAGGTGCTGAACGAAGTGCGACTTCACCCCATCCACGTGACGATGAGTGTTTGTCACGAAAGCTAGCCTTAGCTAGCTGGAGTTGCTCTTGCTTTAGCAAGTTAAGTGACGGGGTCGACGCACCTCAGAAACCTCAAATAATTGATTAAATCAATCTTATGGACCCCCCCCCCCC